CCATGCAGTAGTCTGTTTTCATACTGCTATAAAGACATACCCAAGCCTGGGTAATTTATAAAGGAAAGAGGTTTAATTGACTCACAGCTCAGCAAGGCTGGGGAGGCCTCAGGAAACTTACACTCATGGTGGAAGGGGAAGGGGAAGCAAGGCACCTTCTTCACAAGGAGGCAGGAAGGAGAAGTGCCCAGCGAAGGGGGACGAGCCCCTTAGATCTTGTGAGAACTCACTATCACAAGAACAGCATGGGGGAAACCACCCCAATGATCCAATCACCTCTACCTGGTCTCTCCCTTGACAGGTGGGGATAATGAGAATTATGTGGAATATAATTTGAGATGAGATTTGGGTGAGGACACAAAGTCAAACCATATCACGCTATAATGACAGTGTTGAATGGTTGTAACAGAGACCAACAGGATTGCCTGCAAAACCCAAAACGTTTACTATCTGGCCCAATACAGAAAAAGTTTGAGTACCCCTGGTCTGATTTAATTACAATTGTTTTGTGTTCAGTGTATTTATTCCCGAGTACTTTCTGTCTAAGTCACACCAGTGTTTCACTGATGGTGACAATAACTGATTGCAGTTTTAACAAATCCATTTTTTTTTTTTTTTTTTTTGAGATGGAGCCTCGCTCTGTCGCCCAGGCTGGAGTGCAGTGGCACAATCTCAGCTCACTGCAAGCTCCACCTCCGAGTTCACGCCATTCTCCTGCCTCAGCCTCCCGAGTAGCTGGGACTACAGGCGCCCGTCACCAGGCCCGGCTAGTTTTTTGTATTTTTTTAGTAGAGACAACAAATCCATTTCTAAAAATTAACAAAACAATATAATATTAACAAACGAATATAATATTCTATAATAAGTAAGAGACGTAGCTCGCAGGGATGGTACCACTTAGACAACAAGTGAGGCTTGATAAACACTGGATTACGAGAGTAGGGAGCGTTGAGGGATTTGAGGATGGTGAAGATAAAGAGCCGCTTTGGTAGAGGTAAGGGATCTGAAGGATAAAATGGGTCTGGGAAGGGGACTTCATGAAAATAAAGGATTTGTACCTAAGAATGGTGAGATGGCACTGCATGTCCTAATAGATTTAGTGAGGGTAGTATGGGGAGGCCAAGGGATGGGCAACTGCAACCAAGTGAAGCCGAGGTTGGTAAAGGGGAGAAAAGGATGGTGCCAGAGAGTCATGGATGGATGCCTTCCAACCTGGGGTTCTCCGTACGGAAGCATCATGGCAGAAACGTAAAGATCCCAGTGGCAACCACAACAATAACACTTGTCCCTGTTTACAGAGGGCGGGTTCTGAGCGCTTCACACCCATGAACTCACTCCAGCCTCACAGTAACCCTGTGAGGAAATTGAGGCACAGAGAGGGTAAGTGACTGGCCTGGCTCAAGGTCACACAGCAGGTGAGTGGCACAGCCAGGCACTCGACTAAGCTCTGTAGGCCTTATGAAAAGGCAGGCAGGCCTAATGAACAGGTTAGTATGGCTAGACCCGCCCACCTTCTATGCCTGCCACCCAGGAGGGGACAGGGCTTTTGTCATTCATAGAGTCAGGTCTGGGATCTGTGACGCTGGGTCAGCTGAGCACCTGGCTAGTCCATCCTGGTCTCAGTCACCTGCCCTTTAGGATCCAGGTCATGGAGAGGCTGTCATCTGGTGACATCACAGATGACAAATCATGATGACTTTGCCACAGGAGTGACACAGTCTCATTTGCCGAGAAGAGGCAGAGCTGTGAGGCAGCAGCAGAAAGACAAATCTCTCAGAGGCACAGGGGTGGCTGCAACCCCAAAAGCCCAGCAAAATCTCAGAAGGAGAGAGGCAGAGGGGCCCTCGGTGACCAAATTGGAAGTTATAGGCCAGGGGCTAGGCGTCCGCCTGTGTCTTCCACACTGAGTTATGGTTCAGAAAGCAAACGTCCAGAGGAATGCAACAGATGTCTACTGTCTTATACTTCCCTGTTTTTGCAATTTTTTCTGAAATTATTAAATTGCAATATAATCTGAAATTATATCATTCATGTGTTAATTATCACCTCCACTCTTAACATGTTATCTCGGTGATGTTAGGCCAAGATCAAGATCATACCCGATCTTGATCCCACTGCCTGAGCCATAGTAGGTGCTAATAATATCAGTTTAATTTAAATCCCACTTCAGCTCAAACTTCAAAATGTGTAGGGGTCACTTAGGGTTATCCACTCTCGGAGAATGAGCACTTTGGCCTGGTGAACAGAAGGGACTGCAGCCGGAACCCAAGCAGGGCAAGAAGACCCCACCTTTTCAGCCTCTCACCCACGTACGCAGAGATAGCCAACAGCATCTCCGTGTCCCCAGGGGAGACAAGAAGGGGTTGAAGCCTCTGTCCTGGTGCCTGGTGGCATGGTGGGCCACCATCAATGGGGTGCTGACTTTGCAATTATGTTTTTTTCCGAAAACTTGGTTTGAGAGTCTAAATTTTCTATCTATACGGGCTAGAAATCAAAGGATGTCCAAATAAACAAACAAAACTTTTAACTATTGCTATGGGCTGTGGCTTGAATTCTGTCCTCTCAATTCATATGCTGAAATCCTAACCCCCCGTAACTCAGAGTGGGACTTTATTTGGAAGTGGGATCTTTGCAGATCTAATTAGTTAGGATGAGTTCATACTGGAGCAGGATGATGCTTCTTATAACGGGGGAAAGGTGGACACAGACATACGCACAGGGAGAACGCCATGTGAAGATAAAGGTGGAGATCAAAGTGGTGCATCTACAAGGCCATGTCACAGATGGCCAGCAAACCACCCAGAGCTAGGGCCGAGGCCTGGACCCCATTCTGCCTCACAGCCCTCAAGGGAACCAACCCTGGAGACACGCTGGTCTCAGGACTTTCAGGCTCCAGAACTGGGAGATGATACATTTCTGTTGTTCAAGCCACCTTGGCTGTGGTGCTTTGCTACGGTGGCCCTGGCAAACCATGCAGCTATTTCCAGCTGTGGATCCAGCCTTGGGAAGTGAGCAAGTCATGAAGGATCTCCGTGGGAAGAAGAGGGTGGTGGTGTTCTTCTTGCTAACGGGGCTGCAGCAAACTGCTCTCTGATCACCTGCCCCTCGTCCACGCCTGCCTCCGCCCAGGCAGTTTCTGGTTCCCACACTTGGAGTCACCCTCCCTACTCACTTTCATCTCCCTTGTTTTCTTTCTAGCCTGCCCCCCTCCAGGGCGCCAGACTCACCTGGCTTTGCATCAAACATCCCAGTGGGTCTCTCTCAGCTGTGCAAATACCGAGGCTGCCTCAACACACAGGAGTGGTAACTTTGGGAAACGAGAGTAAGAAAGATACACAGGGGCAGAGGTGGAGGGGGCACCTCACAGCCTGGCCAGTCACCTGGAGCGGGGCCGTGGTTAGCGATTTTCCATAATGGCCAGGTATTATGAGAGGGAACGCAGACTGTGGAACTTAGAGTACGATGTGGCCCATTTCTGTAAGGAAGAAGGATGTTTATGGTTCTGCAGGATGCATCCCAAGGAGTTTGTGCTAATTAGCTCTGGATATTGAAATAGCAAGTGGTTTCAATTTTCTTCCTTCTGCTCGTAACTATGGCATAGTATTTTAGCAGGAAATGTGTATGTGAGTATGTTTGTGCGTGTAAAAATAGTAATACAGTCAACCCTCCGTATCCGGGGGTTCCATGTCTGCAGATTCAACCAACCAGGAACATAAAATATTCAGAAAAACCGCAAATATAAATGATGATACAACAATCAAAAATATGAATAGAAAATATAGTATAACAACTATTTGCGTAGCATTTACTTTGTATTAGGTATTATAAGTTATCTAGAGATGATTTAAAGCATGGGGAGGATGTACATAGGTGGATTTTGGTTTTTGTTTGGGATTTTTTTTTTTTTTTTAAACAGGATCTCACTCACTACGTCTCCCAGGCTGGAGTGCAGTGGCATAATCACAGCTTACTGCTGCAGCCTTGACCTCCTGTGGTCAAGCAATCCTCTTGCCTCAGCCTCCAGAGTCGCTAGGACTACAGGCATACACCACCACACCTGGCCAATTTTTGTGTTTTTGTGGAGACGGGATATCCCTATGTTGCCCGGGCTGGTATCAAACTCCTGAGCTCAAGCAATCCACCCGCCTCGGCCTCTCAAAGCCTTGGGATTACAGGCTTGAGTCACTGCACCCAGCTGCGCAAAGGTTCTATATAAGGAATTTGAGCATCTGTGGATTCTGGTGTCCCCAGGGGTCCTGGAGCCCATCCCCTACAGACAACAAGTGACAACTGTACTGAGAATCTTGAGTAGATCCAGAACCTGAGGAATCGGCATTTCCCTGGATGCTCGATGTCTGTGTCGAGTGAGGTTGACCTGAAGTGGGGTGGATGGAGAAGATGTCTTTTCCATCTCTGCCCCTTTCCCACCCTTATCCTTACTGTCTATGATCCCAGGGAGCTCAGATCCTTCTGTCTGCAGAGCGAGGCCTCTACAAGAAGGCAAACCTTCTCTTGCTAATATGGACCAATTCTTATAGCAACACTTCAAAATCGATTGATGTTACAAACTCTTGTCTGTGTCCTCTACATAAAACCTTTCCCCCCAAGGAAGAGAGTAGGGCAGAGAGGTGAAGAGGAGTGGAAACTCCGCCACACCACCCCACTGTACTAGAAACAGCAGCTGTGTCTCAGAAACAGGGCACTCAGACTCTCTGGCTCCCAGATTAGAAAACAAGGCACAGAACAGCCCCTCCCCCAGAATCACGGGACCACCGACTTGGCAGATGCATCCAAGGGCACCCTGACTCCTCTGCCACGTGGATTGTTGATCCCAGCAATGACCAGCCCAATTAACAATGATGTCAGGCTGTTTGGGTCCAGATCATTCCTGAGCCATGAAACAGTTAAGAAATATCCTGCCCCACTGGCTGCCGTGCTCATAAAGGTAAGACCCACGTGTACTTCCTTGTGGCTCCAAGACGCGCCGGCTCGCTCATTTGCTCACACCCAGCAGGCAGAGAAGGCAGCAGCAGGCAGGACTGCCACCCTCCCATGCAAATCACCCCCGGGAGTGCAGCTGGGCTCCTCCCGCTCCTCCTGGGCAATGCTCCTGGGGAGTCTGTGGGGAAGATGCCATCTAGGGCGCTGTGTGCTCTTCCTGGTCCTCGCCCTCCTGCTGGATGTGGTCGGCCTGGTCTTTTTGCTGCTGGGGATCTTGGCCTCCCTGAGTTACTGGGACTTCTTCGTCTACACAGGTGCCCTGATCCTGGCTTTCAGCCTACTGTTCTGGGTCCTCTGGTATTCCCTCAACATCGAGGTGTCTCCTGAGAAACTGGACCTGTAGTTTGGTCATGGGAAGAGGAGGTGAGACGCAGGTGCCGTACGCAGACACGCCTGTGAACCTGGGGCTCTTGGGCAGCAACACGTTGCCACTTCCACCTAGCAAGCCCCGCCGGGACAAGGTGAGTGCACGTAAGACCTACCTGGCAGGGTGGCCAGAGAGGCTTGGACAAGCAGGGGCAAGACCAGGCCTGCTGAGGCTGCATGAGCAAGTAGCCAGACACTGCGTCCCGACTGGGGATCCTGTGACCCCGGTCTCAGGTCCCGCTGGGGTGGCCAGCCAAGAGGACGTGGGGTAGGTGTTTTCTCCTCTGGGCCGTTTTCCTCACGGAGGCTGGGAAGAGAGTCTCAACAGCCCCTTCCACCCCTGATATGCCACGAATGATCCTGCCTACCAGGCAGAATGGGAAATTATCCCTTTAGCTTGGAACCTGGGGAGACAAAGACCCCATCTGGGTTCTCTGTTGGGAAGAATCTCTGCTGGGGAGAAAAGTCTTTAGCACGGGAGAGGATGGAAAGTTCCCCAATGACTCTTGTGCCCTTGCATGCATGAAGGGGTGTGAACTGGGCTATGGTAAAAGCAAACAGAGCAGAACCACCCAGAACGGCCCCTCGTATTCACTTCCTCTTCCACCTGCCCAAATGGGATACATGAAGGGGGGTAGGGACTACTTTGCCTCCATGCTCACTCAGTGCACACAACTCCACTCTCTGCAGTGTTCCCACCCCACCCTCACTCACACTCACACTCACACGCAGCCAATACATGTGCCCAGCCAGTCTCCAAGACCCAGAAGTCAGGAGACTTCGGTTTCGTGGATTTCATCAGCTGAGTTGCACGTCACACCTCAGTCTATTGCGTGCAACCAAAGAGGCAGAGAGTTGTAAGATTTTTTCACATCAAGACAGAGTCCCAGGGATAGAGTGGTCTGGTCCTTACAACCTTGAATTAGAGATGGACAGCTCTCTCCAGGGGACTGAAGTCAGAGCCCTAGTTCTTTGGGCAGCCGTACCCTCCTCCCCAGGTGGGCCCAACCTGCACGCAGGTGTTTCCAGGCACTCCCATTTCTTACTCCGTTACCAGAAGTAAGAGCAAAGGCCGTTGCTAAGTTGAAAGAAGGAAACAATGATTGTGTGTTTTGTGGCGGATTACACCTGACTCTCAGAACTCAGAGAAAAGAGCAGCAAACTTAGGAGAGCTCAGTAGTGTAAGGTAAGCCCATACCTAGTAAATGAGGTAGAAAGAGATGAGAAGTCAGTCCCACTCTGATCTTCAACACTTGTTAGCTGGGTGATGTTGGCCAGGTTACACTCTCTGAGCCATGGGATTGTCATCTATAAGATGAAGAGAACAGTTCCAGCCCTTATTGCTGCAAGGATCAAAAAGAGATAAGGCAGGGAAAGGCTGTACAATTGATGTGGTTCCTACACCAGATGTCAAGCATACAAAATGCATAATCTGGGATGAGTTAACTGACCCAGAGTCCAAATGTGAAGTATCTTGGTGTCTCTCAAATTGGTAGTGGTGGGGGTCAACTCACACTTTGCATCATGAAACTTCAGAGTGAAAAGGGGCTCTGATTTGTGTGCTGGTACGTTGGGATGTGTCAGGCACTGTGCAAGACACTGGGGATAAAAAATCAGATGCATGGACCAGGTGCAGTGGCTCACGCCTGTAATCCCAGCACTTCAGGAGGACGAGGTGGGTAGATCGCTTCAAGTCAGGAGTTCAAGACCAGCCTGGGCAACATGGTGAAACCCCATCTCCACCAAAAATACAAAAAATTAGCCATGCATGGTGATGCACACCTGTAAACCTGGCTATTCAGGAGGTTGAGGCAGAAGGATTGCTGGAGCCCGGGAGGTACAGGCTGCCGGGAGCAGAGATTGCACCACTGCACTCCAGCCTGGTGGCAGAGTGAGACCTGTCTCAATTTAAAAAAAAAAAAAAAAGACACACACGACACGGGGGCTTTACCATCTGGTGAGAACGACAGACACTCACCAAAGATTCACACTTACAGAAGTACAATAACAAAGTCAGGTCTGCACTAGGGAGGAGAGGAGCATCCTGCCACAAGAATATTCAATAGAGAAACTGACCCAGAAGATGGAGTCAGGGAAGGCTTCCTGGAGGAGGTGATGTTAGGCTGAATGCCAAAGGAAGGGTGGGAGGTGAATGGAAAGTCTTTCAGGGAGAGGCAATGGCTTGGGCAAAGGCCCTGGGATAACAGGAAATAAAAGACGACAGGGAGATTGAAGGGCAGAGAGCAAATGTCGGAGAGGGTTAGAGCTCTGCAGTAGACAGAGGCCAGGTCTCGCAGGGCCTCGAGGGCCTTCTGAAGGATTTTGGTCATTACTTGAAGAACAATAAGAATCCATTGAAGAGATATAAGCAGAGGTAGGGGCTTAACGTAATTGGACCTATGTTTCCAAAAGACCACCCCGGCCACAGTATAGATTATTATGGTTACGATTATTACCAGCTGAAACCCATTTTGGGTGCCAAGACAAATGCCCAAACAACACAGAGCCCCCAGTGTGAGGCTCCGTGCCCTGAACAGCCTTCCCTCATTGAACAGAAGTTCAGTAGCCCAGCGTTGAAGAGCATGGGCCATACCTAGACTGCCTGGCTTGAATCCAGTCTTATTCCTTTCTAGCAACGTGACTTGGGGCAAGTTACTTCACCTCTCCACGCCCCATTACTCCAAATATGTAAAATGGAGATGGTGCTAATAATAGCCACTACATCATAAGGATGTTGCACAGATTAGGCGGATTAATATTTGTTCAGCACTATGCAAGTGATGACTAAATAAAGCGTCAGTCACGACGCAGGTAGCCAGCACATTACGGAGGGGGAGGCCCTGAAGCATTATGATCAATTCTAATGGCAATGTACATTAGGATTTTTCAGTAGATATGAGAATGGATGCTGCCACAGAATGCCAGGGTTTTGTCCTGGTTCAAAGAAACTTTGGAAGTTTTAATAAGTTCTTTATTGTATGCTTTACCGAACCGCCATCCCCTGACACATTTCAGGGATGGCCCAGAGAGACAGATTCGTGTGTGCTGAGACCTGCTGTTCAGGACGTTGCTCACTTACGGGGCTGCCCAACCCTCCTCCATCCCATGGCCTTGGGCGAGTCATTTTACTTCCCTTTAGAGTTAAAGATGTGGTTTCTGGCCGGGCATGGTGGCTCATGCCTGTAATCCCAGCACTTTGGGAGGCCGAGGCGGGCGGATCACGAGGTCAGGAGATTGAGACCATCCTGGCTAACACGGTGAAACCCCATCTCTACTAAAAATGCAAAAAATTAGCCAGGCGTGGTGGCAGGCACCTGTAGTCCCAGCTACTCCAGAGGCTGAGGCAGGAGAATGGCGTGGACCCTGGAGGCGGAGTTTGCAGTGAGCCGAGATCATGCCACTGCACTCCAGCCTGGGCAACAGAGCAAGACTCCATCTCAAAAAAAAAAAAAAAAAAAAAAAAAAGATGTGGTTTCTAAGGGAGGTTTGAAACTGTGCTCTGCCAATGTCCCTGGAAGGGAATTGGTCCTGGGATAAGGGGGAGAGTGAGGGGACAGGAATCCAGCAGCCCTACCCACCCCACAACACACATTTCACCCGGAACAGTGGAGCTCTCAGCAGCTTTGCACATTAAACTGTCACATAAGACTTTACATGAACACAAGCTTCTGATGCCAAAAAATATTTGAAAAGCAGCTCATCTCAATTCCCCTACAGCCTACAACCTTTGGTCTGCATGTCAACGCCAGACATATTCATGATTTACGGGCACATTGTAACTGGCTTTGCTAGTTCTCTCATTCTCAGAGTGAGGTAAAAGGGAAGAATGTGGGTTCCCTGCATTCAGAGCTGACGCCAACATTCCTAGCTCAGCCTTCAGAGGCTCTGTCAGATGAGGTTGAGGCCGGGCATGATGGCTCATGACTATAATCCCAGCACTTTTGGAGGCCAAGGCCACAGGATCACTTAAGGCCAGAAGTTGGAGACCAGCCTGGCCAACATAGTGAAACCACGTCTTTACTAAAAATACAAAAAATAGCCAGGCATTGTGGCGTGTGCCTGTAATCCCAGCCAATTGGGAGGCTGAGGCAGGAGAATAGCTTGAACCCGGGAAGCGGAGATTGCAGTGAGCCAAGATCGTGGCACTGCACTCCAGCCTGGGCGGCAGAGCAAGACTCCATCCCAAAAAAAGAAAAAAAAACAATGAGGTTGATAGGACCTGCCCCCACCCTGCCCCAGAGATGAGGAGGTCCCATGCCAGGTCAGGACAAGGCAGGGGCCTGGCTGCCCCGCAAGCCCTCCACCCACAGCCTGTGCAGTTCTCCAGAGACAAGAGCGCAGAGCGGCCGCTAAACTTCAAAGGCCCCTCCCAGGAAGTTTCAGGGCTGAAACCCACTTTTATGGTGGCTCACTTTTATAGACCAACTGTGCTCCAAGAGAGACAGAATGCCATTTCATTTTATCACTTGGTTGCTGTATTTTCAGATTTTTTCTTTCTCCATTTTCCACTTCTTGGTCATTTGCTGCAGATAAAGGGAAGTCCCCAGGCTAAGTCAGATGAAGACTCTTGTCCTTTTTTAATAGGGTGTCCAAGACGACACACCTGAAGAATACACACACACCAACACCCCACACACATACACACACCCTCTTCTACTGCACACGTGTTCATGCACACACAAACACGTTCCCCACACACTCACACCTACCACACGCACACCCAGAAACACACACAGAAACAAACACACCTGCTCCCACCCCAACCAAAACCAAAAGGCATGGAAGGCTCACAGCCTTGAGCCTTGGAAATTGAAACTTGTTCCTCCACTTAGACTTTTTCCAACAGGCAGCCTCTCCCCTCTGCCCACAGAGGAGGCCAGTGGAGCTGCCAAGTCGGCTCAAAGGTGAGCCTGGTAAAAAGCCCTCCTCTCCTGCTCAACGAGCCATGCCCCACGTAGACACGGTACCAGGGCTGTGTGGAGGAGCAAACGTTTCTCTAATCTCTCCAGGGATTTTTAATCTAAGGCAAGAGATAAAGCATGTGCATGATACTTCACCAAGTTTCCATGGGAAAATGCATTGTGGGAGATAAGCATAGTCTTGCCAGGGCTCTGAACGCTGAGAGGAGGCACAGAAACCTCCTGGCTGGGGGAAGCGTGCTGTGTGTGGTTCTGGCCAGGCTCCTGAGGAACAGGTAAGAACGTGACAAGCAGAGATGGCACAGGGACAAGCAGTGGTGGGTGGTGGGTAGAGGGGCAGTCCAGGCAAAAGGAAGGACTGCAGAAATGAAACAATTAGCGTGTCCAGGAAAAGCTGAGCAGGCACATTTGACTGGGGGTCGGGGTCTTCAGCGCTGGCTGTGCAGGACTTTGATCACCAGATGAGGATTTTGACACTAGGCGAGGAGGGAGGAGCCTTCAATGGCGTTACATACCAGAGAGCAGCATGATCAAACTTTGCCTGTAGAAGAGTGACTCAGCATCATGTGCAGAATGGATGAGAGAGAAGCAGCTGAAAGACATCGAGGTCATTCAGCAAGCTCAGATGGCAGGTAATAAAGGGCTCAAGCTGAAATGATGGCCATGGAGGGGAGCGGAGAAGAGCAGAGACTGCATGAGTGGAGAACAGCCTGTCCTGTTCCAC